TTACATTAGGCACGCGACAGGAGTGATATGTGACATTAACACATATATTTAAGATTCATACGCACACACCTGCTAGACACTTAAAAAGGTGAAATAGAGACACCTAAGTCAGCCATGAAAATGAATGCCTGTAATTAGTATAATATATACATATATAAAATAGAGAAGCAGATGCCAGATTTCTATAGCTGGATTCCAGGATACAATGTCCAGATCACCAAAATTACACAGACAGAAGGTCCTGGAGATGACACATTGTCATCATTGGGACACATGGAAGCTGTGAGGAATATTACTACATGGCATTAACTGTCACTTATCGTCTTTCTATCGGTGATGCTTCCCTCAGCTCCTGATGATTCGACTGTCTTTGGTGACTCTGCCTCACTGGATCAGATGGTGGAGAAGTACCTCACCATAAAGGACGCAGCAACTGGATAGGCACACAGCACCTTGATAGGCACACAGCAACTGGATAGGCACACAGCAACTGGATAGGCACACAGCAACTGGATAGGCACACAGCAACTGGATAGGCACACAGCACCTTCTCCCACGAGTAACTCACAGCACTGTCCCTGAGCTACACACATGCTCTGGCACTGGATGATGTTTGGGTTATATTGTACCCCATCTTGAGGAGGACAGTCTTCTCAATTGGTAGTTGGGTGATAATCAGTAGGTGATGGGTTAATTGATTGATGGGTTATGGTTTATGGTTGGTGGGTGTTGGTTGGACTGTGATTATTCTGCCCGCTCTTCACAAAGGTTTTATCCCAAGCATATGAAAAGTCCTAGACATTACAGATCGCCTTTTACAAATGAATTATACAGGCGTCGATTGACACGCCTGAACGCTTGGAAGCCGGCAAAAAGAATGGCGCAAAATTCCTTTTTCAGGCGTTGGTAAGAAGTAGTTCCTAGTATACAGGGGAAAGGAGTAAATCGGTTTCCACGAAACCTCAAATAACTCTAATATTTATCCAATAAATGTACATTTAAAAGTTGTGTTAAGTCAAAGCAACTAGAAGATGTAGTCATTATAATTTTGTCCGATAAAGGCATATATCGATATAAGGGACTATATATATCTTCCTGGACGAGTCCAAGTTTGAATGTTGTGCCGATTTACAGGTAAGTTAAGTTACCAGTCTTTAGGACTGATGTGTAATGGCTTATCATTCCACGACAGTGATCAGAAGATACATTGCCACCATGTAGCTCTTGTAATGTTGATGTGATCAGAAGATACATGGCCACCAAGTAGCTCTTGTAGTGTTGATGTGATCAGAAGATACATTGCCACCAAGTAGCTCTTGTAGTGTTGATGTGATCAGAAGATACAGACTCAAATATTGTCCCAATGGGCGGGCCGTCGCTGATTAGATTTTGACCCCACGTAAGGTAATGGAGTTTTTCTGTAGGGGACAAAATTAAACATCCTAACCTGCACAGTCCATGGCGACATCCCTAGCCAGACGGCCCTAAATCCTCAGGCTCAAAACCCCCTGTCTACACCGCCCTAAAAAATGGTAAAACAGATAGTAGTGTCAGTGACAGTAGGCAGTGACAGTAAGGCTATCACTGTTGTCTTCAGGTGAGTATGAAGACTTGACACAGAAGGAGCAGCCTCTACGCCCTCATGCCTACTGATACCCTGCAGTTTTATAGGCCAAACAATAATAGCTGGCTGAGGTGACCAGTACACAGCCGACCAGTACCCAGCCGACCAGTACCCAGCCGACCAGTACCCAGCCGACCAGTACCCAGCCGACCAGTACCCAGCCGACAGCTTTTACTTTTCAGGTCACTTCCAAAAAGGCATTTCTGGCTTTGTGGATCTACCAGTCCAACGCAGTTTGTCAAGTTTAACCTCAGTGGGAATTCGGGCTGACGACTACTGGACCGCCAGGTCAATTGTTAGCCTTTGCGCTATCGTCGCTCTCGGCCCAATATATATATATATATGAACTTATAAAATACAAGCAATTCCTAATAACGTCCAGAAATTACTGATAAAAGTTCAATAGAAATTTATAGAATAGGCGTAAAATGGGACAAATGCCGTAACAGTAACTGATCCACAGAGCATGTTGGGAAAGGTGCAGACAGGCATCACCGTGCAGAGTGGCAAGCATCACTTCATAGGTCCCGGATAGTTAGCCTCTTTTGGATATTTTCTCGGTGTGTTGGGAAAATGGGCAGGCAGAGAGACTGACCGGCTCAGCACCACTTGGTGGTGAACTTATGTATGACAAGTTAGATATTGTGAGGGCCCTTTGGGAGCGAGTGAACAGTGCGGAGGCACAGATAGCTCGTTACTATCTAAGGAGAACAGCGTGGCTAGGAGTTAAATGGAATCTGGTCGACGTTCAGTACTCTTTTAAAAATCCAGAAACCATGAGTTGTTAACCGTTGTCTTGGTACTGGGGATATCGCAACCTTTCGGCTTCGATTCCATGATAGATACCGCAAATCTGGGAGAAATGAGGCGCAGTCAGGTCTAACCAACTGAGCTAGCGAGCCGGCAAAGATCAGTACTCTAGGAAAGGGGAAGATGGATATACAATCAGTCATTTGCTTTATCAGAATTGGAACTCTTCGCTTGCTGCAGACGATGGGACTGCAGCGCTTACAAAAGTGTTACGAGTGCTGTGAAGTCGTCTCCTTATTCAACATTAAACATTAAACTCCAGAGCTTTTGCTGAAGTTGACACCTGGTGAACACGAAGAAGAACAAGAAAGAGAACAAGAAAAGTGTCAGAAAATACTGATGGAAACTGTTCACATTCGGTGCGCAGTAAACACCTGGCTAGCAATTCCACCGTGTCTACTTCATTGTTTGGCTAGAGAAATCCAAAGTCTTGTGAAGATGATTGGCCTCCGAATTTAGAGCCCTCGACATTTCTTACCCTGGGGTGTTCCTCATCAGACACAGCGGTGAGTTTATGTGCCCTTTCTGTCCGACATCATTACATTAGATGCCAATGGGTCTCTTAATCGCGAGCAACAACAAAGGAGATTCTAAATGTCATTGTCCAGATAACAGGGAATGTGTTTGCTGCTCTCTTAGAGAATCTTCTCTTCTGAGCAGATGCTCAGTAGTGGATGTGAGGAGTGTAGTCGTCAAATAAATGGTACCAGGGCAGGAAAATAAAACTGACAGCCATGGCAGTGCAGTGTAGGTGGTTATCGACCCTACCGTGTCTGGACTTACAGAAATCCTGTTTAACAGTAAGCATTTCTGTAAGTTGTATCTTAGGGGATTCCTCATAGAAAACAAAATTAGGGGCAGGGGCGGATTAGTAAGAGCGCCAGAATGCCCCCAGCGCACCCAAACATTGTGTGAATGTTAGAATGCCCCGTAAAATCATCCATAGACATTCGTTTTTATCCTGTTTGTTTGTTTGTGTGCTTTATCTGTTATTTCATTTTAAGTGTTTACCGGCTGTAAAATCTGCAGATAGTTCTGGTTGTTAGTCTACTTTTGGACTTTGGTTTTTCTCCAGAGCTTAATTTCTGTGTGCACATCCGTTTCACAGACAAGGCTTACGTGTTTGCATACCGTTGATTCCTCGGCAAATGTGCTCCGATTTCGGAGGTGGAAAATGCCTAATTAGTCGCCTTTTACGACATGTTTCCCCCTCTCCCCCAACTCCCAAAAAGATGGGTACATGGAACAAAGATCCAGCTTCTGTCTACAGGCTAGTCGACGTCAGCTTTCCCTGTAAGAACAGAACATTCCGGAAACTGTCCGGCGGCCATTGTTGTGAAGCTGACTTTGCCTGAGAGACACATTAAAGTTCTGGGAATTGAGTCTAAACCCCTAGCTCGACAGATACGCACACTACACACACTACCAGCACGTCTCATAATTTATTTGCATAGATGCATCCGCACTCATATAAGTGGATAAAGTCCCGATAAGAGAATACAGCAAACAGTAGACAAATCTATAGGTAAGGATTACTTATGTTGGAATCTGCTGGCTTTGCGCGATGACACCCAACAAGTTTATTTCTTCTTCTTCTTCTTCTTCTTCTTCTTCTTCTTCTTCTTCTTCTTCTTCTTCTTCTTCTTCTTCTTCTTCTTCTTCTTATTTCTTCTTCTTATTTCTTCTTCTTCTTCTTCTTCTTCTTCTTCTTCTTCTTCTTCTTCTTCTTCTTCTTCTTCTTCTTCTTCTTCTTCTTGTTTTTCTTCTGCTACTTTTTCTGACTATTATTATTATTATTATTAAGCATTCGCATTAAAAAAGGAAGTTGGCACATTGTGGTTTGCTTTACAGTTAGGTTTCAATTTCTTTCTTTTATTTCCAGCACATCTAATAATAATAATCTCATAATTTATTTGCATAGATGCATCCGCACTCATATAAGTGGATAAAGTCCCGATAAGAGAATACAGCAAACAGTAGACAAATCTATAGGTAAGGATTACTTATGTTGGAATCTGCTGGCTTTGCGCGATGACACCCAACAAGTTTATTTCTTCTTCTTCTTCTTCTTCTTCTTCTTCTTCTTCTTCTTCTTCTTCTTCTTCTTCTTCTTCTTCTTCTTCTTCTTTTTCTTCTTCTTCTTTTTCTTCTTCTTCTTTTTCTTATTTCTTCTTCTTCTTATTTCTTCTTTTTCTTCTTCTTCTTCTTCTTCTTCTTCTTCTTCTTCTTCTTCTTCTTCTTCTTCTTCTTCTTCTTCTTCTTCTTCTTCTTCTTCTTGTTTTTCTTCTGCTACTTTTTCTGACTATTATTATTATTATTATTATTAAGCATTCGCATTAAAAAAGGAAGTTGGCACATTGTGGTTTGCTTTACAGTTAGGTTTCAATTTCTTTCTTTTATTTCCAGCACATCTAATAATAATAGCAAAAATTTAAGACTTTTACGACATGCTTGTTACGATGCAGTGGGTCTATATACCCCCGCCACCCCTTCATTGTGGACACTAAATCCACAAGAAAAGTGTGTGTATTTAAGGTCGAACACAAAAACAAACTAGAAGACTTACAGGCGTCGGTGCTGTAGGAAGCCTGCAGCATACTGTAACCCTGCGAGGACTGGTGGTAGGGCGGGTAGTTGCTGGCCTGCATGAAACTGCTAGAGTTCTGCCCGTGGCCCATGTATACACTCATATTCCGTCTGTAGATGATGCCAGTGCTGGCTGATGTCGGCGCTGTGCAGTGTGTCTATCTCGTGATGGGTCCCTCAGCCTGACGGACTGTCTGGTCGCCAAGGTCTATCTCGTTGATGGGTCCCTCAGCCTGACGGACTGTCTGGTCGCCAAGGTCTATCTCGTTGATGGGTCCCTCAGCCTGACGGACTGTCTGGTCGCCAAGGTCTCTCTCGTGATGGGTCCCTCAGCCTGACGGACTGTCTGGTCGCCAAGGTCTATCTCGTGATGGGTCCCTCAGCCTGACGGACTGTCTGGTCGCCAAGGTCTATCTCGTTGATGGGTCCCTCAGCCTGACGAACTGTCTGGTCGCCAAGGTCTATCTCGTTGATGGGTCCCTCAGCCTGACGGACTGTCTGGTCGCCAAGGTCTATCTCGTGATGGGTCCCTCAGCCTGAATGACTGTCTGGTCGCCAAGGTCTATCTCGTTGATGGGTCCCTCAGCCTGACGGACTGTCTGGTCGCCAAGGTCTATCTCGTGATGGGTCCCTCAGCCTGACGAACTGTCTGGTCGCCAAGGTCTATCTCGTGATGGGTCCCTCAGCCTGACGGACTGTCTGGTCGCCAAGCTGGGATGGATGCTGTTGCTGTGTAAATGCTGCAGCTTCTTTCGTTTCAGAAACCAAGATCTGTGAATGGAAAATATGACGATCTTGAGAAATACAGCAACATGCGCTATGTGAGATCTAGCACCGGTCTCTCTAAGCGATTGTTAAATGAAGACATTAATTGAAACATATGATCAGCTACATACATTTGACAGTGTTCTGTCATATGTTACTATGCAAGACGGTTGTTGGTTGCAAAATAAAATACATAAAATTCCCTTCATCGTCAAGTGAGATTTTCTTATTTTAATGCGAGCACGGGTAGCTTGTGGATAATGTCGACAGAATATTGTAGAAACACTCGAGGAACAATTCGCTGTACCGAACTTCTAGCTTATCCCAAGTGCCATGTGCCGCGTTAGCGCAGTCGATAGGAGACTCGCTTTCAAGTCCAGCTGCGACTGGTTGCAGTTCATGGCCGGTGTTCGAAATCAGACGGTTTCCGGTGTTCACCCAGCCTCTAGGAAATGGCTACTAGAGTTAACACTCTGAGGTGAATGGAGTAACATCGATGTAACTACGGAGGTTAGGTCGGACGGCGACATAAGCGGACAGTTTCTTATCAGTTGTCCGTACTGGTGGCAGAGCACTTATGGTTTATAACAGTGTGCAATGACGCTGGTTCACATCTCTCGACTTTATCCTACGTGCTTTGCCAGTGCGGCTCTGCTGCTTCACCACCAACTTACCAGCAACTTTGGCTAGAAAATACCCCGAGAAGATCTGATCTTCCGTCCATACGGTGCAAAGTACAGCATCATGTTGTGAAAGTCTTCTCAACAAATCACTTTTTCTAATAATGCCATCAAAGTTTGTGCTGCCATAGAGAAAACTTTCCATGGTGGGGGCAATGATTTTCTAGGGGGCCGGGGACGGCCTTAAAGCCTGCTTAATTTGCAATAATAGTAATATGAAAAGTTACAACAATGAGAATTACAACACTGGAGCAACTAAGCGCCCCGCTCCCCTTTCCACTAGAAAATTATTACAGGGAGCCCAAAGAGGCGTAAACCTTTCTAAGTGCGCAATAATAACTTTGTTAGAATAATAATTATTATTATTGTTAGCAACAGCATGTCCCATGCATTTCCTTTCCATTGTATGTATGGTCTTAATTTTATATATTTATGGATCACTATGTCCACAACAGTCAAAATTTTCGACAGCAACATTACATCTCCAATTCTAACCCCCCTCCCCCCAACACCCCTCCCCCTTTTTTAATATTGTTGTTGTTATTATTTGGCACGCAGCCTTTTAATAGTCATGTCCTTGTTTGCATTTTTGTGGAGGTATAATGTAAACAAACATCTAGTTTTTTTTATATACCGCAAGTAAATAAAACAAAAGACACCGATTCAAAGCAAACAATCAGCATGCTTTTTCAGAAAAATACTATGAGAAACGTGTCAACAAAACAACAAATGTGTCAACAAAACAACAAATGTGTCAACAAAACAACAGATGTGTCAACAAAACAACAGATGTGTCAACAAAACAACAGATGTGTCAACAAAACAACAAATGTGTCAACAAAACAACAAATGTGTCAACAAAACAACAAATGTGTCAACAAAACAACAAATGTGTCAACAAAACAACAAATGTGTCAACAAAACAACAAATGTGTCAACAAAACAACAAATGTGTCAACAAAACAACAAATGTGTCAACAAAACAACAAATGTGTCAACAAAACAACAAATGTGTCAACAAAACAACAAATGTGTCAACAAAACAACAAATGTGTCAACAAAACAACAAATGTGTCGACAAAACAACAAATGTGTCAACAAAACAACAAATGTGTCAACAAAACAACAAATGTGTCAACAAAACAACAAATGTGTCAACAAAACAACAAATGTGTCAACAAAACAACAAATGTGTCAACAAAACAACAAATGTGTCAACAAAACGACAAATGTGTCAACAAAACAACAAATGTGTCAACTAAACAAATGTGTCAACAAAACAACAAATGTGTCAACAAAACAACAAATGTGTCAACAAAACAACAAATGTGTCAACTAAACAAATGTGTCAACAAAACAACAAATGTGTCAACAAAACAACAAATGTGTCAACAAAACAACAAATGTGTCAACAAAACAACAAATGTGTCAACAAAACAACAAATGTGTCAACAAAACAACAAATGTGTCAACAAAACAACAAATGTGTCAACAAAACAACAAATGTGTCACAGGCATTTGACTCTCAGAGGGTTACCTCTAGCATAAGACTAGCGTATTTTTCACTGAGTGGGGAATTTAAATAATCACCATGCATTGATGCACACATCAAATGTTTCCGCCCCCCCCCCCCCCGAAAAAAAAATCGCCACACTTGGGTCAATACATTCTATATATTGTATGTTCTATTTTTCAGGGCTATATAAATGAGTAGTCAAACAAACATCCACGAAACTGTCAATTATACAATCATAAGGAATAAGGACATGGGAAGCCAAAGGCCACGTGAACAAATTCGTGTTGATCAGCGCACGAGTTTTCGGAACATTGGCTAAAAGTGCGACGGCATGAGTTTTGAAACGCATTATAACCCACAACATTCTTAGCGCGAAGCAAACTAATTAATCAAACTGTTCAGCATCCAATCGCAACGCCTCTTAAACAATGCTGAAATTTGTGGTTGCAAGTTGCCATCATTTGCGTCTAAGGACTTCAGGAACTGTGAAGCAAAGGCTGTGCGGGGTAGTTTTACAAATTGTTTTTCTAACACAGGGTAAGCATGCCGTAAAATAATTCTGAGCTCTTCTGCGAATGACAGAACTGAACGGTCGCGTCTAAAAATGTCCACCGACAGGGCCTCAGCGATGTGTGAAATTAAAATTAGGATGGCCGGCGAATACTCGGAATACACCAGGGGCGGGCGACAAATCATGCGACCAGTCCCGCTTTCGTAACGTTGCGCCCGTGTTATTTGCATGCAAAACCCGTCAATTGTTAGTGTCGCGGTCAGACTTGCGGCAGATTCTAGTGGCGGTGTCGTAATTGTAATACTCGTTGTCCTAACCCTAACCCTAAACTTAGGACGCAGGGGAGTTTAACCTAGGACCCAGGGGGGGGGGGGCGGTAAACCTAGGACCTAGGAAAGAAGCTAAACCTATGACCAAGGGGAGAAGCTAAACCTAGGACCCGCGGGAGAAGTTTAATCTAGGACCAAGGGGAGACGGAAGACTAAGGACCCAGGGAAAAAGTTAAACCTAGGACCCAGGGGACAAGTTGAACCTAGGACGCAGGGAAGACGGTAGACTAAGGACCCAGGGAAAAAGTTAAACCTAGGACCCAGGGGACAAGTTGAACCTAGGACCCAGGGAAGACGGTAGACTAAGGACCCAGGGAAAAAATTAAACCTAGGACCCAGGGAAGACGGTAAACTAAGGACCCAGTGTCAGAGCTGATAGTCTGCCTGCCATGGTTATAATTCTATGATAATTTTTGCGCTTTGCGAAACTATCGCCCGAAAGTAATCCTACTTTTGCTGGAAAGAAGCCCGCAATTTACATGAGGCCCTGTTTGGGTATATGTTTAGACGAGATCGTTCAGTCCCATCATTCGGAGGAGAAGCTGGTTTTGTGATCGTAGCCTAGCTCAGTATAATTGTTTTAAACAGGTGAAGCCGTTTCTGGGATTTGGTCATGTCGGAGTCACATCCAGTAGTGACTAGTCATTGAGCCACTTGGTGTACATCATTCCGGCTGCAATACCAGCAGGACAATGATTGAGTAGGGAGTGATTATTGAAACCAAAAGATGCCAGGAAACTAGCATCATAGCAGATTTGTTGTGCTAATGATCATGCAAAGTTGGCGAGTGAGTGCATTCAGAAACAGATATTTCGGGAGCCAAACAGGAGGAGTCCCGATAACGTAGTGATTAGTGTCTTGCAAGTTAGCCCAAATGTAGAGTTCGGATCAGCGTCAAGACTGACTTTTGGAATTCACTTGGGTTTCGATGTTGATCCAACCTAAAATGTTAGCAGAAAATGTCGTAGCAAGTAAAGGCGACCAGAGTCATAATGATCAGATCGCAAGTTGAGAGTTAACTGGGTTATTTAACAAAGAAAATAGGTCATGCACTAAACGCTGGCGTCTGTGGCTTAGGCGTTGCGAACGTATTTATGTAATGCTGGAGTGCCGGGTTTGATGCCAGCTGCAGATGTTCTGCCCTGCATTGGTTTCAACAGTGGTACAGAGAGCTGACCGCCAAGAAAGCAATAGTAGATCACTTAACATAAAATTTGCCTAGAAAAACCACAACAGCTAAAAAATGCTGCGGTTGGTTCTGCAACGTCCTGTAAAGGATACGCAATAACTATCAGCACATGTG